TCAAGCTGCATGGACAAAAAGGATGGACATAGGCTATACGGTCACGCCCTTAACTGGACATAGCAAAAGGTTAGTTCATGAAACCCTGTAATAGATTTCGTCGATGAGTATATTGTGATGTATGTTCCTGGTTTCCTATCTTCTTTCCAATGCATGGAAACTTTTCTCTGTGAATTATTACATCAGGAATACAGTGAACTCCAACTGAAAGAATGTGTGAAGAATATGCATCCTTGAGTATGTGTTGGATCTTTAATTTCCTACAACATAACAGGCTCGCTTTTCTGCCCCAGCAAATTGCAGCTGCCCAGCTTATAGTGGTTGGATTAAATCTTAGAAGTGAAGAATGCAGAGCTTCTTAAATGTCCGTCTTAGGTGAAGTAGAGAGGATCTTAGCGTGTTTTAGCTGCGAGCTCCGGGATCACTTTCATCTCTTTACTTGTGTGGAGACTTATTTGTTGAACCCTTGAGATGAATGATTTTATCCAATTACAGAGTTAGTTTTACAAAATAATCTACTTTCAGATTCGGAGCATCTGGAGTTTTACTTTGATTAGAGTATTAGGAGAGCATTCAAATCTTCTGACCAGTTTAAGGCTGTGAATATCAGTTTTCAAACAAGGAAACCAATGCCTATCATGGCCCCTGACCAAAATTATCAATCAACAATCCATGAAACAAAGAGAGCGTGACTGCAATGGCCATTTTTTATTGCTAATACGTTTACAAGCTAAAGTACAGCGTACGGCACTGTTAAAAAAAATCAAAAAACTAGGCCATCTTTTTGTCACACTCCAAACACGATAAGCCCAGTTCAATCCAGCAGAAACCTAGACAGTAAAACAGTAAAAATACAAAGAAAAGGAAACAAACCTAACTGAATTGAAGATTCACAGTCCGATGAGAAGAGGAAAAAAAAAAGAATCAGCCCCAACGACTCCAAAAAATGAATCAGACTCCAAATCCTCCACCGCAGACTCCAAAAAAAACTATCATTCAACACAAATGAATCAGAGAAAAAATATATAATCGAATAACGAAACGATTTAAGCTCTGATTGAATGAATTTGAGCGCGAAAAATCCACAAACCCTATACCCTGTCTTTTCGTTTTTTTAGGTCGGATGAAAATGGAGGAAAGAAAGGATGGAGATTGGAGAGCATACCTGATTTTTCGAAGAATCGAAGAGGTGAATCGGCTAGATCCGAAAAAGGGAATGATGCGTGACCGATCTGTGTTGAGGGAGGAAGATTACAGGTGTCGGAAGGTCGCCGGCGATTGGATTTGAGGAAGATCGCCGCCGAGGATGGATTTGAGGGAGAAAGATTACGGGTGAAAACGGGTGGAAGTAGAAACCTAGAGAATGTTCATTCGGGTGTGTTACAATACTGGACTCATTTGGGTTTAGTCAAATTATAACCAAAACAACCGAACTTCATTTAACCGAATGTAATAAAACAAGTTCGGGTCGGGTACAACCCGACCTAATGAACATGCCTACGTGTTTCTAGCGAAAATTTAAAAAGTTATATAAATAATAGAATAATGTATTATTTTGTATTGAGATTTTATTCTAAGAAGTAAAATTTCTTTTGAGTTGACGTGGTTGTCCGTAACCCCCTTAATTGTTTTGTTAAAGTATTACATATTCAAAATAATAGGATAACTTATTTCTTATTTTTTTGTATCTTTATATATATGGCTACAGGAAAGTTCATCATTTCGTTCTGCAAATGTAAGTGTTTTGTAGCGATAAGTTTTCTTGATAAATTGGTTATAAAAGCTCTTGTTGAATATGGTATATTCTACATCACAAACTTCTTTTTGGTTTTACTTTTTTTTAAAAAAAGTTTTGGCAGCATTTTTATCTTTATAGTTTTGGATTCTTTACACATTTGAAACATCTACAGGAGAAGATTCTGAGAGTTCTACCATCGTGGACGCGATTCTTACAAACATGATGAGGTTACCTTTGATTTTTGTGACAAAAAATGAATGAGGATTGCTCCAACAGCAATCTTAATATGCACGAGTTTTGCCCTTTTTAATTTCAAAGTGTTTATCTGATTTGTTGGCTGCTTACAACTGCATTTCTTTGTATCCCATACTATGCATACATAACTGGGCAGATAAGTTCTACAAAAACTGATTTTAAGTTGATGAATGTGAAAATTTTAACATATATAGATTTCGTGCGGTTCAGTAATTTTATTGTGTTCAGGAGAATTGACCGGAGAATTGAAACTATTCGGGTCGGGTCTACTAATTATGAAGGTATTCAGGTCTACTAATGCTGCTATTGTTGATGAGACGGTAATCTCCACCCCCTTTCCCTTCGCAATATTAATCAATGTATCGATGAATACTCTTTAATCACAAATTTGTTGTTTAATTTGGAGTTTGAATTTGTAGCCCACTGCGCTTCCCCCTTAATTTGCACCTTACTAATGTGCTAATTCTATTTCAAAGAAAAAAAAAACTGTAATAAATTTGAACTAGACACCATAAATTTTTGGGAGGGGGGAACGGGCTACAATAATCTCTTTCTTATTTGTGTTAATACGCTTTACTTATTTCTGATATTTTTTGCATATATATATATGGTTGGGGAAAGTTCATCATCTCATTCTAAAAATATCGAGCATTTCCTAGGGATGGGGTTCGCATATAAAGTGGTAGTGAGAAGAATTAATTTTCAAAACATTATCTTTGGCCAGTTTTTCTTATTTTGCTTGCGTTTTTTAAACTTTGATTCAATTCTATAAACATGTCATAAAACATAATACATATTTAAAATTGGTAAGAGTGAAAATTTTTGAATTAAAGAGTAGACAAAACAATGGTCTCCAAATATATAATATATCATAATTAATCGGGAGAAAATCTTTGAATTAAATTACAGACCTAAAAAGCGACTTCCAAAGATTTCCAAGATTAAACCCACCCGTCCCAAATTCCTAATACATATATAGTAAGTAAATGAGGTCACTATTTTTCACGCTTGAGATTATTATGAGAGCATTATGTCCAACCCCTCTTTTAACATTTTAGTTACTCTAATTCCTTCGTTCCTTATTCAGTTATTCCCCAATGAACACCCTCTACTATGTATTTTTGTTCTTCATCATGCTGTTCAACAACTAGTAGTAGATTAGTTATTATGTAATTGTTATGATTGACTTTGATTTTGTGTAGGATATGTTTATCTGATAATTTTAATTTCTGAATTTAAAACTATACGTACTCACGTGTTATTACAATATCAATTTATCATTTTTCAGCTCTCCACTTCACCCCATGACAGTCATTATTAAAACTTTGTCTCGAACCCCTACTATTTAAGTGATTATACGTCAGTTTGCATTTGAAACCGTTCTTTATGTGCTTTATAGAATGTTCATTTTCTTTCGAAATTGTAATAATATAATGTATATATATATAGAGGAAAAAAATTAATTTGCAAATTGTCTTTGACCAGTTTTTCGAAACTTCCTTGCAATTTTTTGGAATTTTGATTTAATCCTAAAAACGTGTCTCAAAAAACAAAATACATATTTGAACAACATGGTATGTTGGGTTTTTCTTTGAAGTTGAACAACATGGTATGTTGGGTTTTTCTTTGAAGTTGAGGCGGTTGAAAGCATATCTTAAGGAATGGAATAAAGCTGAATTCGACAATGTTTATCAGAACTTAAAAGAAGCTGAGGAGAAGGTCTGTATCATTGAGGAGCAATATGATCAATCCAATGCTGAAACTGATCGCACTGATTTGCATCGGGCGCAAGCGCATCTCTTGAATAAGCTGAAAGAGCAAGAAGATTTTCAGTCTCAAAAAGCTCGAATAAAGTGGCTAGCAGAAGGTGATTTGAACACCTCTTTTTTCCATGCCTCATTGAAAGAGAAACAGGCGCGCCTTGGAATACATAAAATTCGGAAATCTGATGGAACATGGGCGATGGAGAAGAACGACATTGAACAAGAAGCAATTTCATTCTTTCAAAATCTGCTTACAAAGGAAGAGTTACCGTATCATGAGGAAGCATGTCATTGAATTATTCAAAATATTCCGGAGTTAGTCACGCATGAGGAGAATGAAGATTTGTTGCGAATGGTTACTATAGAGGAAATTAAGAATGCGGTATTCAGCCTCGATCCTTCCAGCTCTCCGGGTGTCGATGGATTTAGAGGAGAGTTCTACCAATGGTGCTGGGATATTATTTGCCATGATCTTAAAGCAGCTTGTGAAGACATTCTTGCAGGGTCTCCTATGCCACGTGCCATTGCAAGCACTATCATAGCCTTGATTCCGAAGAAAGCTACAGCTACCTCCTTTGCGGATTTTAGGTCGATTAGCATGTGTAATTTTCTTAACAATGTGTTTACAAAGCTACTTACACAACGGTTGAAACCTCTTCTTCCTGGGCTCATATCGGAGGAACAATCAGCATTTGTTGAGGGCCGTGACATTGTTGATAATATTCTACTCAAGACATGTTGCAATTTCTGGATCATCCTTCTTGAGGGAGTAATCTTCTAATTAAAGTCAACATAATGAAAGCTTTCGATAGAGTCTCATGAATCTTAAGTAAATTTGGTTTTCAAAAAAAAAAAACATAATACATATTTAAAATCAATAAGGAAAAAATCATTGGATCAGAAAGTATTGAGACCAAAAATAGTCCAGTTACAAACTCCTGAGTCTTACATGTCTGACCACCAAATGACAAACGAGCAACCCTGATCCTCTCACGATTTATCACCCGTACGTAAATCGTGCTATTTTTTATTTAGTTTTCTAATTTTTGGTCCTTTTGAGCGTATTTTTTTTTTCTTTTGGAGTTTGAGAATACCACAACAACTGAATCAGCAGAAGCTCAACCCAGCAAAAATATCGGTGGGATTATATCAGTTTGAGAATCGGCTGCTAATGTTTGCTTGAAATTGCAATATTTCAGTTGATTAGAAGGGATGATAAATTCATTAAATTGATTAGTACGATATCAAAACACACCCTTTTGTAAGATTTTCTCATCTTGACAAGAATCCACAAAGCTGGCGGTGGGATAAAGCAAGGTGGGATCCGCCGGCGGCTGTTGTCGGGGTTGAGGAGGGAACAGGTTCATGAGATTGTTCCCAGCTGATGCTATTGTTTCTCCAACTTCCCGGGTCTTTCTTGCTTCCTCGTCCTCGCGAAAGACCACCAGAAGCATCTCACCCTGCTCCTGCTGCTGTTCCCCGAAATTCCTCTCATCAATTTTCTCTCTCTCCTCCTCATTGGCCGCTTCTGAAGAAGAAGCAGGCCTCCCTACAGATATTGGAGTCCGGCGAACCAGCCAAAATGTAAACATACATATAGTAGTAATACGATATTAGTCAAACTTCAAAAGTAGTTATTATGCATATTACAAGTTATTAGTAGCTTAAATAGTTAACTAAAGTTACCTTAATATCACTCCCTTTGGCTGGAGTTTCGAAGGTCAGGGAAGTAAAATGATTACACTCACTGATGAATCTTGCTACCTCCAGCAACGAGCGATGCATTTTTGTGCATGACGGATGCGTATAAAACTGCAGTATCAACAGGAAAAATTTGGATTTGAAAGGCGTAATCATTACATATATGATATCCAGTGCGTTTTCGATTCAGTTTTGTTTGTATGTACGTAAAAGTCCAGATAAGTTCCACAAACTGATTTTTAAGTTTTTAATGTGAGACATTTAATTTACCGGACGTCTTGTTTCGATTAGGTTCAATAGAATGATGATGGTAGGTTGAAGCATTGATTGGAACACAGATGATGAAGTGGAGGTACTCGAAGTGCTCCTGTTCTTGATGAATGAGGCGGTAAGCTCGAATTGGAGATATCGATGTACTATTTTTTTTTTTGGGTTATCTTTGGAGTTTGAATTTATGGTGCTCAGGGGCCCTTAACTTGCACCATAATGATGTGCTAATTTTATTTGAAGGAAGAACATTCTAGAGAATTGAATTTCAACTAGAAACTATCTGATGTGCTAATAATGTGCTCAGTGCCCCTTTATTTGAAATGATGAACTTTTTTTTTTTAAAGAATTTTAGAGTTCGAATTTGTAGTTACCCAGAGAAACTCCAACCAAGACACCAAAATTAGGGGTGCACATAAAAAGCAATACCGATTAACGCAGATAGGTTAGTTTGGTCGATATTTATCTATTTTTAAAAAAATAATTTCACTCAATATTAAAATTGTATATGAAAAAGTTGATACTTCTGCAATTAAATTAAAACAAAAATTAAGTAATATTTAAGCGAACATGTGTAACTAAGGGCTTGTTTGATAAAGCCAGTTAATGTTTAAAATTATTTGATTAAACTTTTTTTCACTTCAGCATGTTTGATAACAAAAAATAAACCTCTTAATGAATTAAGTGGTGTTGAAACTGCAGTACAAAATATAAGCAATAAAAGTTAGCTTATTGCTTATTCTTTAACTGCTTAATGAATTCAGTATTTCTAAGTCAGTATTAAACATTTAGGATTAAGCAACATTTTCTTATCAAACAGGCCCTAAGACATGTATGACGAGACTTGGTAACAATCCAACCAACACTCCAGTGCCTTCGATTCCGTAATTAATTTAACAAATTTTTTCCAAGTGTAATATCTGAAAAACCATTTTTAACTAAGACGTGTAAGGAAAGTCATCAGTGCAATTGATGCTCTATCATCTTCTGCTTCGTTTGCTCTATTTTGCCTTGTCTCGCGGACACAACTCACTTATAAATTATTCTTGATAGATATTATCAAAATAAATTTTTGTGTAAATGGATTTTATACGTGACATGTTTCCGAATTTTTATTAGTATAGAAAATATATCATTTCAATAAATAAAGAGAAAAGTTTTTTAAAAAAAATTTCTTGATAGATATCATAAATATATATATATGTATGTATATTTTTGTGTTACTGGATCTGATATATGACATGCTTCCTAATTTTATTAGATTAGAAAATATATAGTTTCAAAAAATATAGGTGTAAAGTAAAAATATATTAAAAGACAAAAAAAAAAAGGTAAGAAAAGTGGCAGGTGTGCATGCACGGCACACGCCCGCCCTGGGAACTCCTTGCAAGGAGTTCCTAGGTACACGATATTATTTGTAGCTTCCTCCTCGACCTCAACGTCTTCCCTCTGGAGTATACCCTATCTGGATTTAATAAGGACCGAAATATCACTCTGGTTGGGTGTTGAGGTGCTTTGGTTATAATGTTCTCAGTTTTATGTATTGCTTTTTGCCATCCAATTGATGTATAAAACTAGAGATGAATTTTCTTCTGATTTTTTTTGGTCTTTTCAATGCAATTTAAAATTATGTCTTAAAAAATTTATATTTTTCAATATATTAATCAATTACTTCTTCATTAGATATGAGTATCGAAGCGTCATATTCTTATTATCGGATGCTATCTGCATCAATGAAGCCCTACAAAGTAAAAACCATATTCTGCACTTCTATAAAAAAAATAAAGCCCTTTTTTGTTTAATTGTTTTCGGTACAAAAAGTAAGAAATCTTACAACTGGATTTTATAAACTTTATAGTACTCGCTTGTTAAGTGATAAGAATTTCTACGTGTGTTTTGTTTGAATTAAATTTTTTTAGCATACATTTGATGTTTCCCCACGAATTTAATTCAGTTACTAAATGGTCAATGATGCGAATGATAGATAGATTGTCGTTGTTTTTTTTATTTTAATGAGAATGAATTTTCTCTGTCACTTTCTTGTTACACATTTTAATAATTAATTCCTCTAGTTTTTATAATGTGTGCTAATATATAATATATATATATATATGTGTATTACAAAATCGTACAATTGTAGATAATTTAATATGACATTTTAATTTTTGTATCAAACTTTTTTCTTTAAATTTTTTTATATTATATTAATTTTTTCTCAAATGAAAATTAGAAAAAGGCACTAACCTGAAATAATTAACTTTTAATTGTTGCACACATTACTGCAAAAGTGATTATAAATGGTGTAAATATAAATACAAAAGTTAAATTTTAGGGAATCTAATAAAAATATAAAAAAAAAGTAGCATAGATGATTTGTTGTCTTTGTGGGAAACATAAAATTTTGAATCTCGGAGAGGTTCTATCTTTGCGCCGCAGCAAATTAATTAGTTTTGTCTTTAAGGAAAGTAATAACAATAATGCAGATATTCTATTACTGTATTGTTTAACTCTTTTTGCGAACCGAAAAACTAAAACAACTACTTGACGAGTTTATATATTAAACAACTATACTACAGTTTTAATATGAAGAAATTATTCGCATGAAATGTAGTTTTCAGATTTCCTGTTGCGTGCATCAACAAAATTTGATATTACTATGAAACCTTCCACAACATATATGTTATAGATAGCGAATTATGGGAAGTGAACAAGGATTCTGTACGAGTTTTTACCAATATCAAAACATTGTGCAGGTTTTGTGCAAACAAACCTAATTTTCTTTTCTTTAAGGTTTAAAACTTTTTAGGTAATAGAAATTATCACGGACATTAATGGCTAGAGTGTCCAGTAATGGAGGATTTTAATACAACAATGATGATTGTAAAGTGCTGGAGTTGCAAACCCTTAGTGGTGATTTTACATGAAATGTCACTCCAGCTGCACCGGTGCATTGTTCTTCAAATGTATGTACTGAGAAAAAGGGTCCATACAAGGCTTTCAGGATCCGATCCTCAAATGCATTACATTAATAATATGCTTCCAAACGGGAATAATATTAGGGGTGGTTTATTATGAAAATATGGGATGTCCTGCTGGAGCACATTTATCATGTAGTTTTTCAAACTCTTTTGAGTGTCTTCATTATGGATATTTTGTCTGTCATTTTTCTGGAACTGTTCGGTTGAACTCTATGTGGTAATATAAACCTATCGTAGAATTTTTAGTTTCTAAAACTTCAAAAAAAAAAAAGAAGAATATATATCAAGAAATGACTCACGCAAAATGTAGAACTCGAATTTTTCTTATTGGATGCATGTACCAAATTCGATATTCTTATTCGATCTTCCATATGAAACATTTTAGAGATAGTGAATTTGGGTAAGTGAAATAGAATTGTTTTTAAGATTCTACAAATGTGAGAACATTGTGCAATTTTTGTGCATGGAAGGTTTTCATTTTATGATACGAAGCTTTTAAAATAATTGATACGACATGTAGATTAAATAATTTAAAATATATTATATTTGAAATTTTGTATTTGTAAAAAAGACTAAACGAATAATTTGATGGTGTTGTCCTAAAGAAAATTGGAACTTTAGTTCCTGTTAGGCCTGTTGTTTGGGTTGGTTTATCCGATGCCCGACCCAAACAAAAACTACTTTTTAAATTCGGATAAAGTCAAAAACAAAAAAACGTAAAGCGGTCAAAACCAAATAAGATTATTCGATTAATGGGTAAATTGGCTACAATTGGAAGAATTTTGAAAAACCCGCAAAAACCACAGTCTTCGATATCATCATCTGCTCGTCATCATCACCTCTCTCCTCCTTTGCCACCCACCGTCCCACCATTGATCTCTCCAATCCTTCACCAAAAATTTTGGCTGCCAATTCACTCTTCTTATCAGGTAGAAATCTTTCTATACTCATCAGGCAGAAATGGAAGTTGGAAATCCTAAAAAGGTTGCTCTAATTTGTTGTTGATTTTTGGTGGGTGCTATTTATTTTCGCCAAAATTTACACATTCAGATGGGACTTGATTGATTTTTTTGATTTGATGATTGGAGCTTTGTGATTATCTCCTTTTCTCAATTGTTCGTTTTTCATAATTTCTTTTATTTTTTATTTTTTTATTTTGCGGGGTTTTTTCCTAAGGTTTTTGTTTTGGTTAATTCAAGTCACCTTGATATTTTTGGTACCTATATCCTATGGTTTCTAATTGAGTTACATGACTTTTTTTTTCTTCATGATTTTATCATCTTTTATGATTTGTGGCTAAAGATAGATAATCCCTTTTCATCAATTTATTTCAATCACAAACCAATTCAAAAGGTTTATTAATTCAGGAACTTATTGATATATGCATATTAAGGATATGCATGTATCCTGCTTTTAGTAAAGGTTCTCTGTGTTATCAGTTTATCACCAATTGTCTCTTGTGTTTGGTGTTTGCTTTTTGTTTCAAACAAATGAAATCAATACGATGATGCATTAATCATAAATTTGAAGAAGTTGATAATGATCCCTTATTATTTGTTCATGACATGGCTTGGTTTAATTATAGAGTATATCAAACTGTCTTGTGTTTTTCTTCTCTTCTTTTTGGTTTTTTTCCCTCTCATGAA